ATTTAAAATTAATTTATAATATTGTATTAATTATATTTATTTAACTTGTTATCAAAATATATATATTTTAATAATCTTTAAATGTACTTACTTTTGTATTTTACATCAAATAACTGTTGATTACACATTGAAACTATTTCACCATCCAGTGGTGTGGCGAACTTTATTAAGTTATGAGGCACAGTTATATTGTCGGACCCACCACCATACCATGCCATGGGGTACCCATCACAAAAAACATTAAACATTCTTTTTAAGATAAAATATATTTATTCATTTGAATAATAATACTTTTTTTAACAYATCAGATGATCTTTGAGGACACCCACCACCCCTCAAACTGAGGCACRTGCTTCAAATATAGTCCTTCGTCACGCCACTGTCACCATATATAATATTCTCAATCAGTTCTGTTAACTCTAAGGTAAAAGTTTTCACTTATCAAGCTATATTTTAAATTTATGGAATCTCTAGTAAAATATCKAAAATCATTGGTGTAGAATGAGGGGGTCTAATAAGAATTGGCTATAGCCACCTCCCATATAAATTCATTATGCTATAACAATGTTATAAAATTGTAAGGATTATCCAACATATCTCTTCTGTGTTGAAATTGGACCAATTTGTTAAAGGTTCCTTTTCTATTTATCTAACATATTTCTATAGAATCTGTTCTTTGGAACTTAAATTATCTTAAGATACCCTAATGATTAAAAGGGCTCAACACAAGGGGCATCATTTGGGAGAGTGCAGGGTGTTCATTAGCATCACTTTATTTAAAACACCTTTGGCCTGTCAACAATAAATATATGCACTGATACAGTGATACATCTAATTGTTTCACACTATATATATTTATATTTTTTTCAGTATAAAAAAAATTTGCTGATTTGTTTTATTTTTTTCAATTAAATAACTGTTTATTGTGCCATTGTGAGCAAAGGTATCCATACAATAAATTACAGGTTTTATTAAGCTAGCTTATATTATGTATATTGAGTGCAGTGAAAAAAATGTATGGGTTAGTTTCGATTAGGTATGTTTTATAAATAAGTATAAATATACTAAAATAGTAATAATTTTGATGTGTTCAAACATAATATACATATATATGTATGAYATTATATTAAATAAACTATATAAATATTCTAAAACTTTTTCCCCACTTGATATTGGTTGGAGTATAGTTTTATAAAGAATGATTTTGATGTGTATGGTGATGTTAGAATAATGYRATGGCCTTAACAGGTGCAGCCTGGAGTTAAGTTCCTTAYGCTTGTCTTTAAAATTTAAAAACCCGGTAAGGTGCCAATCAAATGTAAGACCAAGATATTTTATTTCTGTCGAAAGAGGAATTATAATGTTGTTAATTGGTACAGCTGGGTAGTTTAAAGGTCTGAGTGAGAAAGTGACAACAGATGACTTGAATTTGTTTATTTTTATTTTCCAGTTGGTGAACCACTTAGGGAGAGCATTTAAGTGAATTTGTAGTTGTTGAGATGCAGACTTAAAAAACAAGTTCACCAGCTTGAAATCTAAAATTATAATCTACAAATCACTTCMCAAATCTATTTAGGCATAATATGGACTCCAACTTATTCGGATTCAGGCTAAAAATCTAAAAAGAATATGTGGTGTTGTGATCACCTATAAATTATACTAATATAGGCTATAATAAGTAATCAGATCAAAATGTCACTAATAAGTAGCTTCTTCCATCAATGCTTTTTTCCATGCTATGTATGYCATTCATCAAATATTCTTGTTATGAATTTCTTGTATAGATGGTTCCAGTGGCGTGACRAAGGACTATATTTGAGRCACGTGCCTCAGCTTGAGGGGTGATGGGTGTCCTCAAAGATCATCTGATGTGTTAAAAAAAGCATTATTATTTWAATGAATAAATATATTTTATCTTAAAAACATTTTTTAATRTTTTTTGTGATGGGTGGGGTGGGTGGTGGGTCTAACAATATAACTGTGCCTCATAATTTAATAAAGTTCGCCACGCCACTGGATGCTTCATCTCAATATGTTAGGAAAAAAATATTTTTTAAATGGTTTTTACAACTAGGAACAACGTAAACATTTTTTTCAAAAAAATTAATGCTTTTTGAAAAAAATGAGTGGTTCACAGTAAAATAATCATGTCATAGTATATGAATTGGTTWGAAATAAAAATTATTGTACATTATTGTTGTAATGTAACAACTTAAAAGTTATAATTTTTGTATAAAATCTAAATA